TCACCAACCTCAAGGAGGCTCATCCTTTAGCTGTGTCCCTTAATCCTTCTATCAGAGGAGCCCAGAGGCAGATGACCCAAGCTGGATATGCCCTAGGAAGGGTGCATATTGTGATTCCACGCCTACACTTGGCTATGAAGCCCCACTCCAATTCCTTGTGGAACTGAGCCTCAAATGATGTGGGAGGTTCTCTTCTTTTTCCTGGAAGAAGAACCAGGATCTTGCTGGGGCAATAGCATTGGCTAAGCCCTCAAGCCTCTTCATTCCACAGTATTCTTCCCTAATTTTGACCTTAAACACAGGCGTTCCTGCTGGCATGGACTGGATGAGTTGAGAGCAGTTCTGTTTACTATGGAGAAGTGTATTTTTTGTATTGTCCTATCTTTTATACCATGTATACACAAGAGGCATACATGTGTTGGACTGTGCAAATGGATTTATGTAGCAAGCTTCAGTCTGCAAATAAAGAAAAGTAACCAGCCACAGTGGGGTGTGCTGCATTCTTTCTGCAGGAGGGGTCTTCCATCACCAGGGACATCTAGAGGGCTCTTGAACTCTCAGAGCAATCATAAAATTCCTGGAATTGCCTCAGAGAAAATTCAGGGCAATTGGAGTATTCGCTCTTGACCATCCAACAAATGGTCAAGGACAGAGCCCTCCAGTGAAGCCAGGTTTTCTCTCTGCTTGAAAATCCACTCTGGGATTTAACTTTTGAGGACAGGACCCAGTCCTGTGGTTTGGAGAATGCTACTCCCTCTGTCTTTGGCCACTTGACCCTTTGTACCTGCTGTGTAGCTCCTGCCAGAGCAAAGGGTGCTGCATCAGATGATCCCCTCCTTACCAGAGGAGAGTCCCACGGCAGAAAGACCCACTGCATTCATCTCTTTGGGTGTTTCCTCAATGGTTGGGTGTTGTCTGAGGAGGCCCACACTGGTTGACAAGCCTCTTCAGGCTGGAAAATCTTCTCAGCGGTGGAAGACAGCATGTTTATCACCAAGGATTAACTGTATCCTGTTGAAATATAAATTTGATTCGATCACTTAATCCCCCTGGGTCAGGCTCCTGGAGCCCTGGAGTGTTCTGCAAGAGTAGATGCTTATTCTAAAACTGAAGTAAAGACATTACTGGGGATTAAGGCTCCTTTCTCTCCTAAGAGGAATGGGTGGGAGAAACAGTCCATCTGGTTTGGACTGAAGGTGACAGAAACCATTAAGTTTCCTTTCTTGTTTACCAGTATTGCTTAGTAAGGCGACGGCTCATCTTCCTGTCTGTATACACTGGTCTGTGGGTTGGCCAGAGCGGAGTGGGAGAAATCTTCAACACAAATACATCTCCATCTGCTGTTTTCCTCCAGCTGAAACAATGAAGAGAGAGCCAGAATCTCAGATCCATGCTTTTTTTTTTTTTTTTTTGAAAACCCACTTCTTGTAGCTGGTGATTCTGCAGCCTCCATTCCTGGACTCCATCTGGCAAGATAGTGGTCTTTGATGACATCTATCCTAGGATCACAGTGATGCTGGTGCTCTGAGGAAATACTGGGATTTTAATCTCATTTACTTTAATTCAACAACTACCGGGGAATACTGCTGTGTTAGATATTTTTTTTTTTTTTTTTTTTTTGGTTTTTCTCCGGTACCGGGAACCGAACTCACGACCTTGCGCTTGCCAGGCAAGTGCTTTTGCCGCTGAGCTAAATCCCCAGCCCCTGCTGTGTTAGATATTAAATATCTATGCTGGAATGTACCACAGAGGTCATACTACCTAACTTCCTCACTCTGAAGTATTCCCTCTACATCCTCAAAACTGACGGCCCAGTCTTTCCACAAGCACTGCCAATGACAGATGACTCACTACTATCTAAGACAAGTCATTCCAGGGCTGGGCAGAAATCTTAACTATTAATGAGCCAAAGTAGAACCACTTTACCCACTGGCCTCATTGTGGCTACTGGAGCTATGCAACCCTTCAAGTATTGTTGTTTGAAGACAACTTTGATATCCCACTTTTCAGCATTAAACTCTCCAAGCGGTAGTGGGCAAAGGTGGATTATACTGCAGGTTCAAATAAAGTTTGCCGAAAGCAGATTCTTAAAACAAGTGGATCTGGGGTGTAGTTCAGTAGTAGAATATACTTAGCATGAATATGACCATGAGTTCAATTTTAGCTCAAAAAGCCAAAAGCAGATCAAACTAAACCCAGTAAAATTTCTCTTGTTCATTAGAGGCTGTTTTCTGGCAAGTCTTTCCCTAAGTGATGGCAGTGATTTAGGATCCTTCCATGAAGAGCTTCTGTCATCTTGGGGTCTTCCCTTCCCATTGGCCAGATCATAGCAACATAGCTCCAACCTAACTGCAAGGGAGGCTGGGAAATGTAGTTTTGCTATACATGAAGGAAGAAGAGGCAGACTTGTAAGTATCTGGCTAGTCTCTGACAGACACCTCCACTTAACAGCTTTCAATTTCCCGTACCTTCGTTTGAGCAAAATATGCTTCTTCCAATGTGCTACCAGGATCTGAAGTGAGACTAAGTCTGTCTGGCCTGCTCTGAGGAAAAATGGGCCACTTTCCTCTCTCTTTACTCCTGGCAAGCAGATCATACAGCTGATGTATATTGAGTTTTGGCAATTGCCGGTAATTTCTCCATCCTGCTACAGAGCAATGAACTTCATTGCAGACCCAACAGAAGCCATGGGTAATGGGGAGGAAGTAGCAGATGCAATGGCCTGCACCAAGTTGGAGTTGGGGGTCAATGGGGCCCATGTAATGAGAGGTAAGTGACCTCAAAGGAATGGTTTTGCCAGCTGAGCACTGGGGTATCCCTTAGCCAGGGAAATTTGGGGCCTAGCTGGCTCCCTTGGCTTCAGGTGCCACTTCCTGCAAGGTCTGTATGGAATGTGCTACCTTAATGTGCCCCAAATCCCCTGCTTGCCCTTAAACTGCCAGAGAGCATTCTGCATACTATTTACCAGGACTCCTTCCCCAACATTCCTGCAAATGCCCATGGATGCTCATATGCCCTACAAATCCATGCTGGTCAGCACCAGGCTCATCTCTCACCCTGGGTAAGCCACCCTTCCTTGTACATCAGCTATTGCGCCATCACCAGCTTTTCCAGGCTGCAGCCAGGCTCAGCATCCCATCACAAACATAGGCACAAGCCTGTCCCCCGTGCGCAGGCACAGATAGGACAAATTTGAGCAAAGGCAAGTGAAACTTTACTAGGGCTCTGAGCAGAAGTCATTTTATGGGATGGAAGAGCTTTAATACTGGATCCTGGAAAGCAGAGTTCTGGTGGTCCTTGGGCCAGACCTTGCTAGGAGGTCTTCTGATCCTTGCACCTCAGCCCCTGCTGCAGGGCCCAGTCCTGCCTGCCGGTCCCTGCCAGGAGCCTTCAGATGCCCCATCAAGTCTAGCATCCTTATTCCCTATTCTCAGCCTTTTCTGAACTCAGCCAGATCTCAGCCTCTTTCCCAAATAACTTGCTCATCTCTCCGGGCAACTCTGCCCACACGATAATCTATTACACGGTTATGCCTTAGGCAGCTCTACAGAATTCTGCTATCACTATTTGTTATGGTTTGTGTCTTGATATCCCCCCAAAGCCTCATTTGGTCAAGGGGTGGGCAGGCTTTTCAGAAGTGGCTGAATCTAGAGTTTGTGATTGGTTCATTGTCTATTGCTGCGATTAGTGATGTGAGTGCTACACCTGCCCTAGGGCAGTAGCCTGCATTCAGTATGCAAAAAAAGGGAGGAAAAGAGGCTTGCTCTGCCCTTTCTACATTTGTTGCTCTTGTATCTTCCACCGCCATGAACTGTTGCTCCTCTGCCACGCCACCCTGCCTTGAAGCCAGCTGACTATGGACCTCTACAAACTGTGAGCTAAATAAACTTTTTTCTCTTTAACTTTGGGTGTCGGGTATTTTATCCCAGCATTAAGAAAAGTAACTGAGACAATTTGGTACCAGACAAGTGGGTTTGTTTCTGTAACTATATTTGACCATGTGGTTCAGGAGCCTTGGGAATTAATTTGGAAAGGTATTGAGAGACTGGCCAAAGAAGTATCTCCTGTGTGCCATAAACTAAATGGGAGACTCTGGTCAGGGCCTGGAAAATAAGAGTGCTGATGGAAATACTGCTGTTTAGGTTTCTATTGAGAAGGACTGCATTGGATCCCAGGTGGTGTATATTGTGCTTTGGCAGGAAGTTGGTCTGTATTTTGCCTGTGTTAGTGATATTGCCTGGGTGGCAGAAAAAATTCAGTGTAGTTTACTGTTGGGATAGTGGCATGGTTACTGTTGAGAGCTTTTGGCCAGATCTATGTTTGAAATTAGAGCAAAGAGCCAGTAAGGTGATTTGAAGCATTTGGCCAGAGGGGAGGCTCCAGGGGAGCTGTGGATTGCAAGGGTCAAACAGAGAACATGGTTGTTGAGAACAGGACAATGAAAAGATGACCTAAGACCTTTCACCACAAAGGAAGAGTGTATTTGAAATGCAGGAGAGCCCTGCTTTTTAGTGTTGCTGTGCCCTGTTCTTAAAAGTCAATGGGAAGCAAGGATTGTGATTCATAATAGCTCTTTTAATATGATTTTAATGTAGTTTTTAGATATGTTAGTAATCAAGTTAGTTAGTCAAAGTGTTGTGGTTTTAACCTTGAATTTTTATCACCCTTTGAATATTTTGCTTATGGTGCCAAATGAGTGCAATAAGAAGTGTATGTGTGTAATTATTATATTAATATAAATCTGAATAGACCAAGACATTAACTTTTCAGAAATCTGCCTCTGGCGATTATGGTTTAAGGAAATGTGTCTGATTATCAAGTTGACCAGGGGTGGATTGTGGTGGGTTAACTAATGGTCAACTTGTAACACTCAGCTGAAGTGAATCAGCGTGGTGTTGGGTGTGGGAGGCCCACCTGAGGACTGTTGCCAACAGCGTAAAGGGAGAACTGGAGAAGAAGATGGTGCACTGTTGATTCTCCTGGAGAAGCTTGTCACACTG